AACCCTCCATTTACATTCAATTCTAAAATATAAAACTAGGCTTGCATTTACTAAACTACAATGATAGCATTGCTTCTAAAAACTATGGAAATTATTTCTTGTATATTTACTGTTATAAAGCTTCTTACACGATTCAAGATCATGTGTTGTCATTTTAATTGAGAGTTTCTAAATAATCATTTTAAATAAATATTTTATTTTTTGAAATTAACAGCCACAACAACCTGTACTCAGATATCATTAAGTATTTTGAAATAAAGTCATTTTAGAAAGAATTGACCTTATAGTAAAAAAAAAATTCATATTACATTCTAAAATACAAAATTAAGCCTTAAAAACTATTTTTACTAAACTAAAACGCAGTCTAGCATTGCTTCTAAAAACGAAATAAATGATTAACTCGTATATTTACTGTAATAATACTTCTTAAGAGAATGTGCTGTAATTTAGGCTATTTTTTAAATAATCATTTTAAATAAATATGTTATTATTAAAATTTAAAAGCACAAAAGTACTTTCTAATTTTAGGAATAATTGACAAAAAACTTTATTTTGTATCTCTATATTGCATTTGCACTCAACAAGCCTGCGATTTTCAATGCAAAACCTTTTTCAGTTTATATTAATAACGCACATTCTTTGACACAATTCCAGACGCATTCAGCTCAAGCAGAGGTCGACTGACTTTTACTTGTGAATGTGATGAACTCTACAATCTGTCCGTCTGAGTGTGGCCTCTCAGAGAAAGCTGCTGCGCGCTCACCTAAAGACAGACAGAGCCGGAGTTAATGGGGGGCTTTGGCCCAATAATCCCCACCCCCAACTTTTTCATTTTCTAAAGGTGGAGCTGTCTGTCTGTCCGTGGGACCGTCTCTCTCTCTTGGGTCTAGACTGAGGGGGGCTGGGTGGATCACGTGCGCCAAGCCCATGACAAAAGCCTCTTTTATGAAGAGCGTATGCAGATAGAGCTGCTGCTTTTGTGCAGCGACCCCAAGCTCGGATGGAGAGAGCAGCAGCAGGAGGAGGAGGAGGAGGAGGGAGAGAGAAAGAGAGAGTTAGATGTAGATGCTCTGAGAGCTCGTGATTGGTGTGAAATTGGTATGTGCACAGAAAAAACAACCTGGCTTGCCACAAAATGATTTAAATGTTCATTAAAGAAAGTTTTTTGGGCTTTAAGTTCGTCTGAAAGATGATTCTCAACTGGTTTTGCATCAGGACCCAAGTACACAAATGTAAAAAATAAAATTGTATTAATATTACCATGATCTTTTTAGAAGCAACAATATGAAAAATTATTAGCATGATAGTTTTTTAATAATACGAGCTCTTGGTCTTGAAGCCCTAATTTTAAAAAATTCAATAAATAAAAAAAATCCACATTCGTCATTGTTATTAATGTTTGTTTTAGCCATAATATAAATTCAAATCATTTTACTTTTTTTTCTACACTTTGATGTATTGCTTAAGTTTTTCTTGTTTTTATTTTCACATTTTGTTTTAATTGTAGTTACATTTTTAGTAAATGCTTTTGTCATTTTTATTAGTTTTTTCCCCTTCTGTTTTTAGCCATTATATAAGAATATAGAAGTCATCACACTCTTTTTCTAGACTTTGAGGTATTGCTTTTTTTCCCATTTTAATTTTAGTTACATTTTTTTAGGGTGTTTTTGTTTGTTTTCATTAGGTTTTGTTTTTTAAAATTTTTATTAGGTTTAATTTCTTTTTATCCCAGTTTTAGTTTTTATTTCCAGTATTTGTAGTGCTTATTTCAGCTCATTTCAAGAATATTTAAATATTTGTACTGGAAAACTAAATAAAAATTCTAAATAAGAAAATTATTTTAGATCTAGTTTTGAAAACGAACTTCATTATTGTGCGTGTGTTTTTGTGATTAGTTAAACATGTTGATAATTCATGTAATTCTCTATACCTGTGTTTACTTTGGCTTCAAACATCCACTAAAAATCACCAAAACACCAGCTGATTGAGCTATTTTTTGAAACTAGTTCGAACTTCATATTTTGTTTTATTTCAGCTATAGTTTTAGTTAACGATAACCGCACTACAACTATTCACGTTATAAAATCATTGACAGCCAGAATCCATTCTGCTTTAAAGAACATTTCAAGTGACAGACGACAAAACAGCAGCACGCCCAATTAACAAAACGTAATTGCAATTTGGCTTGGATGCTAACATAGTTATTGGTCTGAATAAATGTGAATAATTTGTCAGTGCACATTAAAAAATGTGTCCATAATCTTTCTTTTTCAGCTTTATTATCAATTTTTTTTAACATTCATATCGAAACACTTGCATTATGGAATTAAAATAGTTTGCAAATGCAGTTTCATGTCAACTTCAAGGTAATTTTTGGACCTGTGGGCCTTAAATGAACAACATCTTAATTTAAGAATAAGCCGCACTCATGCATTCTCACCCCGCACACGTATGTCAGCACACACACACACACACACACACACACAGCTCATTAAACACACGGGAGCCCCGGCGATGCATGACTGTCTGAGGGTTGATTTGTCTTGTGCCACAGGGAGAAAGAAGCTGGCACAGACCCTCGCCTGCCATCTTACACACAACCGGCACGACGCTGGAGACACAGCAACATCTACACATTCGGGCACTGCAAAATGTCTCAATGTCACCACATTAGACGCAAAATATCAAACTTACAGATTCCTCATCATTCCTGTCCAAAAAAGTCTCAATATCTCAATCAGCTGGTGATTTGGTGATTTTTAGCCAAGCTAAGTAACCAGAGAATTACATTAATTATCAACATGTTTAACTAATCACACACACACACACACACACACACACACAATAATGACTGTGTTCATTTTCTACACTAGATCTAGAATATTTTTCTTATTTAGAATTTTTGTCATTTTCCAGTACAAAAAATCTAAATATTTTTTAATTGAAATTTGTATTTACTTTAGAAGTACAACTACTATTAGGTATTGTTTTCTGAAAAAAAATTAATAAATAAACAAAATTAAGGGATTTCATGCTTAAAAGAAGAAGAAGAAAAAAATCTACCAATAAGGCAAGAAAACTTAATTCAAAGGAAAAACAAATGTATATTTTTTTACACATACTGGCAGATATTTGCCTTGTTTTCAGTAAAAACATTTGTAATTTTTCTTATTTACTTGAGATGCAAAATGACATTTTGTTTCTCAATTTAAGAATGTTTAGATATTTGTACTGGAAAACAAGAAAAAAATACTTCGTACTTAGTGTGCATTTCACACCAGACAAACTTTTTATGTCGAATGATTTGCTTCAAAAGTGTTCTTGTACATCTTTATAATGAATGACTTAAAATAAGGAAATATGTAATGCAATTACTTTTTTTTTTTTTTTTTGCATCTAAATGCATTTGGGGAAAGAAAAAAAGGGTGATTTCACCCTTACATGCATGTGTATGGGTGTGTATTCACCCATACACATGCATGTAAGGGTGAAATAAAAAAAAAACGATTTGTGTGAAAAATCTGTTATATCAATACTTGATATATGGATAATACTTTGATATTTTATTATATAATGCAATGGCATTCAGACATTTTGTGTCTATTTAGTGTCTAAAAAGGCACAGAATAATAAAATGAGAAAGAAAGAGTTTTTTTTTCCCAGGTTGACCTGCAAACTCTAGCGGCTGCAGTGAATGTAAATCACCCGAACTCACTCACACAAACCTGAAATGCTATTCAAATGAGACGGCACTGAAATCACAGAGACAAAACTGTCCCAGAGCAACACAAACACAATGGTAAGACTGTATGACTGGCTCAACGATCCTCAAAAAACATACATACTTTTAATTTTTTTGAAAATGCCTACTTTAGACCATCACATCAATTCCTTAAAGGAATAGTTCACCCAAAAATAAAAATGGCTGAACATTTACTCACTCTCAGGCCATCCAAGATGTGGATGAGTTTGTGTCTTCATCAGATTTGGAGAAATGTAGCATTGCATCACTTCCTCACCAATGGATGTGAATGGGTGCCGTCAGAATGAGAGTCCAAACAGCTGATAATAACATCACAATAATCCACACCACTCCAGTCCATCAGTTAATGTCTTGTGAAGAGAAAAGCTGTGTGTTTGTAAGAAACAAATCCATCCTTAAGCCGTTTTTAACTTCAAACCGATAAAGTCTATAAATAACGCTTCCTCCAGTGAAAAAGTCCATCTCATCTGAATCAGGGGAGAAATCTGCACAGATCAACCACTGTTTACAAGCCAAAATAGCTCTAAACAAGCTGTGTGTTTGTAAGAAACAAATCCATCCTTAAGCCGTTTTTAACTTCAAACCGATAAAGTCTATAAATAACGCTTCCTCCAGTGAAAAAGTCCATCTCATCTGAATCAGGAGAGAAATCTGCACAGATCAACCACTGTTTACAAGCCAAAATAGCTCTAAACAAATGTTAATTGATGGACTGGATTACTTGTGGATTATTGTGATGTTTTTATCAGCTGTTTGGACTCTCATTCCGACGGCACCCATTCACATCCATTAGTGAGCAAATGATGTAATGCAACATTTCTCCAAATCTGATGAAAAATAAACTCATCCACATCTTGGATGGGTGAGTACATTTCAGAAAATGTACATTTTAGGGTGAACTATTCCTTTAAGGATCCTACAGCTTGCTGAATATGGTAAATACACCACATTATGGAAATAAATTGCGCTTTGAAAACGTGTTTATTCCTGCATAATAAACAAAATACCATTTATTTGTATACGTATGCAGGCTGATAAACATAGCTGAAATATAGACATCACCTTGGATTAAACGCATCGATTTGAGCTTTCGTTAAACTCTTTCAGGTGAACGGATTAAAAACGGCCCTGAAGTGCGTCTCATTGTCCGCTGGAGTTAGCTGACCGTCGTCCAGCGTAACCAAGTATTTCAGGTCACTTCACAGGCAGTTTGTCAAACAGCCAAAAGTCCCAGAATGCCTGGCGAAAGCCCAGCTGTGTGCAGCTCTGAGAGTTAACTGTTGCGACCCCTAACGCACCTCTTTCTCCCCATCTCTTTTCCTCCTCTGCCTTCTGTTTGTCTTTCTAAACAACCGTTTCTCCTTCTGTTTGGAAAATCTGAGCCGCTCGGTTCGACACACAACGCGTTTGTTTTGCTCAAACGCCAAACACAGTAAACTAAACCTACAGATCGCCGATATTTCATTCGTTTAATCGCTTAAAAATGTGTCGGAGCGCCGTGACATCACATCGGACACATTCAGAGATTTTTAAGTGGCTTCTTAAAGGAACAGTTCTCCCAAAAAAGTCCTTTAGTCACTCTCATGTTCGTCAAAAACCTGTATGACGTTATTTCATCTTTAGACACAGCTTTTAACGCTTTTATAAGGATTAAAAAACTATAAAGACTACAATACGATCACTTTATTTGAGGACGAGTGTCAAAATGAAGTCGCTATTCCTTGATCCACGGAAACAAATCCCAGCATACAGGGAACAGGTGTGAACTGTTCCTTTAAGCATCTCTTTTAAAGCAGCTCCAGCGTTCATCTGTTAAAGACGTTTGGACCTGTTCTCGAATCCACCTGCTTTATATTTCTCTAGTCTCTGGAGACCCGGCGTTGTCCAGTTCGCTGCTTTCTGTCCGTTCTGCATCTGTCCCACACCTGCAACTCTGATAGCACAAAGAAAAGACAAAACCAGCCCAGTTCACCGCCACGAGAGACTCACATTACACACACATATATATATATATATCTGTTTTCAGTTGAATTTTTTGAAATTTTGCTACATATTAGATTTTGTCATTTTAAAATATTACTATTTAGGTTTAATTTGTTTTATTCATTTACAGTTAATAATTATAGCTTCAGCTTATAAACTTTTTCATTTGCCAATGCAACATTTGTATTGCCTTAGCATAAGTTACAATTTTTCTTTCTTTCTTATTTAATTATTAAATAGTTAATATATTTAACAAAACTCTTTATTATTACTAACATAATAATAATAATAGAATATTGGCACATATTTATAATGATTTTTCTGGCATTATAAAATAAAATACTTTCATATTAACATGATTTTAATGCTGTCTGCTTCATTATTAATTCTTTAAATTCCTTTTTTTGTTACAAGTTTCACTATATAGTTTTTGTTTTAATAGCAACTGAGTTTAATTTAAATTCATCATCACAAAAAATATATACACACACTTTAATATAATAAAATAATGCTTACATATTAAAATAATTAATATCATTTTATTATGAAAAATTATCATAATTTATGATTTGAATAGATTTTTACTGCATTAACTAATTTTAATCTGCTTGGTTCCTCTAACAGAAGAAGGACTGTAAATATAGAATAATTTTAAAATTAAACGTTAATCAATTGAAAAATATTGAGATGTAATTGAATTTATATTGTCCAGCCCTAAATATTACATCTACAAACTCATACAGAAATATTAATACAGATGTCAAACAATTTGCCACTGAAGCTGATTTGAAAATATGATAGAAATAAATAAACTGGAGTAAGACTTTGCATGCGAGTGATTGGCAGCAGCAGGTCTTCTGTTAAAGAGAGTAGCGCCACCTTATGGATCGACTGGAAACGCATCTGATCTCTTGCTGTCAGTAAATCAGTGCTGCACATGTGTTCAAAAATATGTTTGTCTCCAAAAATATAACAGACAAGATTTACTTCAAGACTATCTGCTGGTCTCTGGCAAAACTAAATATAAAAACAGAACTAGATTTATTCATTTTCTGAAAGAAATCCAAGCGTTTGCCCAAAGAAAACTCACTGCTGGAGTGCTGAGGATGGTTGCTAGGGTGTTGCTATATGGTTGCTAGGGTGTTCTGAATGGTTTTTAACATACTGCTTTATTAATAATAGAGTTGCCAATGGAAACCGTTTGGGAATGTTAAGCAAAGTCATTTGGCTTAAAACCAGACATATATACAGAAAAGGCCAAAAGGCCATAATTAAATATGAATAATTCTAAAGTTAATTCTTAATTACAATTTAGATAATACTTTATTAACTGGTCACTGTTGCTTAAAACAGACACAAACATAACAACCAAGCAGCACAAGTCAAACTTAAATTAATCTCAATATTTTCAAGAAGAAAACATATATGTTTTAATATAGTATTATATATTAAAATTACTTTTTACATTAAACACTACAATTTATTTAATATTTATTTAACATAGAAAAAATATATAAAAACTAACATTTTAGTCAATAAAGATCTCTTTTTTATTGTTTTAATAATTTTATTTGATTTATAAAAATAAAATACACTACTTTAGATGTAATTGGTCACTGCTGTCTATGAGAAAAACAATATTTTATATGATTTAATGTAATATTAAATATATTTGATATTTATATTTGAAATTTAAAATGTTACAATGTATTTTTTATTTTAAAATGTAATCATGTAATTTTTTTAAATATTGAAATATGAATAAAGTAATGTTTTAATAATATTAAAGAAATCTCATTTGGGGTTTTTATTTTACAAAAATGAATGCTAAAATACACTACATGTAATTGCTCGCTGTTGCTTTTAGTTTTTTTTTTTTTTTTTTTCATCACGTTTAACCTCTTAGCTAATTAAAATACTGAGTTTAAAGACATTTTGCATAAAGTATGTGAAGCTCATCTCTGGCAAAATGTGAAACACGCACAAAACATAAATAAATAAAAGCCGAAAGCACAAGGAAGCGACCGAAGATCTGAACATCTGCATCAAAATAATGAAGCGAAGTGGGATTAAACTTTAACCAGCGGTTTTCCAGACAGATATTAAACACTGTCGTTGATGGATCAATATCAAAGCGAAGCTGCCATTAGTGTTTCTGGATTCCAGGACTGACCTTGATCTGCGTCCAGGGAAGCGTCCGAAAGGCCAACGAACCAAACGCTGGCTCGCTCTTCATTAAAACACACGGGCACACGGGACGGCAGACAGGTGCTGTCTGGGTCAGGAGGTAAATAAGAGCACGGACCTCAGGCCAGACGCTGGGCCAGTAAATACACACCGCCTTTCATTCACATGCATAGTGTCTGTAACACAAGACACACAGCAGCTGTAGACAGGACAGAGACCCCTCACACACACACACGAGCAGCACTAACAGCTCTGGGGTCAGAGGTCAACCATCAGTAAATCTGAGCTGATCCAAGACATATACAGATACACGATACACAGCAGAGAATGCATGTAAAATACATGGATAAAATACATATATGTGACCCTGGACAACAAAAGCAGTTTTGAAATTGAGATTTATACATCATCTGAAAGCTGAATAAATAAGCTTTTCATTGATGTGTGGTTTGTTAGGATCGGACAATATTTGGTCGAGATACAACTATTTGAAAATCTGGAATCTGAGGGTGCAAAAAAATCTAAATATTGAGAAAATCATCTTTAAAGTTGTCCAAATGAAGTTCTTAGCAATGCATATTACTAATCAAAAATTAAGTTTTGATATATTTACGGTAGGAAATTTACAAAATATCTTCATGGAACATGATCTTTACTTTATATCCTGATGATTTTTGGCATAAAAGAAAAATCGATAATTTTGACTCATACGATGTTTTTTTGGCTGTTGCTACAAATATACCCCAGCGACTTAACACTGCTTTTGTGCTCCAGGGTCACATATTGTATACATTATCATATGCACTTTTCAATGATGTGGAACAAATTGTGCAGCATATATTTCCAAAGATATTTATGTAACAAATATGCTTATTTTATGTCACAAACAAGTATTAGAATTTGTATGTAGGCCATATTTAAAAGTAGTTTGTGACATTTCTGAAATATTGTGACAATATTACTATTAATATTGTAATATGCACAAATCAGAATTTTTTTTATCAGTGAAAACACACACACACACAAACACACACACATATATATATATATTTTTTTATATAGTAACCAAACATAAAAATGCAATGAGCTACATTGTAAATTTATGGTACAAATACGGTCTTTCTGCGTCCAAAAAATATTAGAATTCAATATGTATGTAGGCCATATTTTAAAGTAGTTTGTGACATTTTTATAGCATTCAGAAATACAGTACACAATGCATATATGCAAAAATGTGACAAGTTCATCACTAAAATGCATACATACATATTTTTAATCATTTTTTTTATAGTGTCCATGACAAAAATGCGCATACAATTATTATATGCACATATTTTCCATGCATTACCATCGTTTCATCACAATTTCACCATCCAGTTAGGCACATCAACCATAACTCCTTTAAAAACAGCTGGAAACCTTGGAGTTATGATTGATGATCAGCTTACTTTCTCAGACCACATTGCTAAAACTGCCCGGTCCTGCAGATTTGCTTTATTCAACATCAAGAAGATCAGGCCCTTTCTTTCGGAACATGCTTCACAACTCCTTGTTCAAGCTCTTGTTCTGTCCAGACTGGACGATTGCAATGCTATCTTGGCAGGTCTTCCAGCCACTTCTATCAAACCTTTACGATTAATCCAGAAAGCGGCAGCAAGATGAATTTTTAACGAGCCAAAAAGAACGCACGGTCACACCTCTGTTTATCAATTTGCACTGGCTACCAATAGCTGCTCGCATAAAATTCAAGTCATTGATGTTTGCCTACAAAACCACCACTGCTTTAAATATGTATTATATACACATATTTTACACGTGTTACCTGCTATATATTTGATTTCTTTAAGAGAAACAAGTCAAATGACTTTTAAAGGCAAGATTTCCTAATATTACAGTTGCCGAACTGCTAGAAAAATCAAATCAGACGTGCCAAAAAGCCATCAATCCGTCGTACGTCACTGCTTTCAGAGCCCAGAGCAAAAGCCATCCATCGTTCAGAGCAGAAATCCACATTAATGGCATAAACGTGCAAATGAAGGGCCGACCTGTCGAGATCTCAGCACAGCTCATAATTCACACTAAACCCTGCCACCAAACCTTCAGACCGGCAACAAAAGCACTCGGCGGGGCCAAGACACGACGGTACAGCGGGATGTCATCGCCGCGACTAGACCTCGGTGAAATATCACGGCAGAACGACAGGGAACTGCGTTTCAGTCGAGAAGTGTTGATTTTGTCATACATCACGCCAGAAAAGGGCTGACTGCACGCCATTCGAAACCTACATAACAATCCACTTTACCGGTTATACATTAAAGCCCTCGTTTTAATGCATGTACGTTTCATTTAATCCGTCGATTAATGAAACCCACCTAATTCCTAGTTCATTTTCATTCTCGGATCGAAAGCCCATAAATGCAGTCCAACAATTTACGGCGTACTGTTCGCTATAAATTGATTCCATATGTGAAACGTAATATCTGATGCCCAATAGCCCTCCTATGATGGAAATCTAAACTGCAGGGTTTAATCGAAATGTCTTTTCTCTCATACGCAAGGAGTTATAATGGCTTCTGCAAATCTGCAGCCTTCAATGCTTCCAAATCCCCATCTTACAGTCGTTTCAAGACACTGGAGGCCCTTAAAGTGCATTGCTATCAGTTTCACATTTACACATAATACAACTAATGAATCATCCTATCAAAAATATTTGGTTACACTTTATTTTGACAGTCCACTTTAGACATACTACTAACTATAAGTAACTTTGCAACATACTGGTAAAAAATGTATAGCCTGAAAGCTTTGGATAAAAGCGTCTGCTAAACGCATAAATGATTAAATTAAAATTAATTAATTAACTACATGTCAACTAATTCTCATTCATTTGCAACTACATGTCTACTAACTCACATAGGTTAGGTTTAGGGTTAGATTAAGTTGATATATACTTGCAAAGTTTCTTATAGTCAGTATGTTGTGGACCCATCAAAATAAGGTATTAGAATATATTAAGCAGACAGTCTACTAATACTCTAAAGACTGTTAGTTGACATGTAGTTGCAAAGTTGCTTACTGTTAGTAGAATGTCTAAAGTGGACTATCAAAATAAAGTGTTACCAAATATTTGAATCAATATGTTAAATGCATGATTTGAATGAATCCGTGTATAATTTTATTTGAGCTGGAATTCATGCACAGTCTGAATGAACCGATTCACTATGCGGAACTGCTTAGTGAATCTCACTAGAAAAGGCCAATTCATTTGAAAAAGTGAGGAATTTACGCATAAAAGTGAATCGTATAATAATAATGAATCACTCTGCTAAAAAAATTTTTGAGTTAAAAGCAGCGAAAAACAATCAGATTTATCTACAACAATTTTTATGTATTTTAAATTTAAATTTTAAGCTTTAAAATTTTATTTAATGTATGACTTGGATTCCTGTTAGGGATGCACGATATATCGGCCACCATATCGGTATCGGCCCATATCGGCTCATTTTTTCTGTTATCGGTATCGGCCTGATAAGAAAATTTGGCCGATATCTTAAAGCCGATAAATAATGCATTATTTCCTTCAGAGACACTTCAGATGCGCGCTGTTCGTTTGCAGCCTTTTGTGCAATTGTACATTGTAATATTGTGTTTATTTGATGTATATCTGATTTATCTCATATAGAATGCGTTTGGTTAAGTTAAAAAGAGCGCTTCAGTTTACCGGTGATCATCTTTAGCTCAGCACACGCAGCCCAAACAGCAGTGCACAACATTAATAACTATGATTGGGAATGTCGTGTATATAAAATTCTAATGAGAACATTATTATAATAAAACGTTGGGAATTCTTTGGGTTTAGTTGCCGTGTTTCAGCGCGTTGTTATGGGAAGAGCGCATCCACAACAGGATCACACATTCTGACTATAGCACGCAATAACTGCATAATTTTGTACATATATAAGTTGTAATATTATGTTTATGTTGTATTAATATTAATCTCAGGATGCATTTCCTTGAGTTAAATAAGCTGCCAGCAAAACGCTTCAGTTTACCATGTTCATTCAGCTCTTCAGCTTCAGCACGCACAGCTCAACGGCTGCTATTTAAAACAGTGGTATTAATTTGTTACTTTTTCAAAATCATTGATATATTATTAATAACAACAACCACTTGTATTGTTCTCTTATTATTTTCATCAACAGTATGGTTTAGTAATTAAAATCATTTAATTATTGTCCGTGCAGAGGCTATTCCGTTTTATTGATCTATGGCGCATTCATTTTGATTCTTTACACGTGTAATGATGTCCAGTGACTTGTTTGCATTATTTATGCATTATTTTATTTATTTGTAAGACTTTTTTATGACTAAATTTGGTAATGGGAGAGTAAAAATATTTTTAAAACGTACACCGTTCAAACTAGGCTGCTTATGTTGAAGTGTTTGGGATGTGGCTTTTAATGATGAGACCTTTTTTGTAATCAGGCTCTCAAAAAGTATATAACAATTTGGATATAGATTTATCGGCCAACATATCGGTTATCGGCTTTCAAAAATAAAGAATAATCGGTTATCGGTATCGGCCAAAATTTTCATATCGGTGCATCCCTAATTCCTGTATCGGTTAATTTACATGCAGCGTCTGAATAAACTGATTCACATTCAAGCGATGCTGAAATGTACTAGAAAAGTTAAACAAATTTGAAAGTGCTGAAATTACTCATAATATATTATGAGTAATTTATAACTAATAAAGCACCCGATCAAATAAATATATATATATATATATATACATATATATATATATATATATACACAGGTGCAACTCAATAAATTAGAATGTCGTGGAAAAGTTCATTTATTTCAGTAACTCAACTCAAATTGTGAAACTCGTGTGATTAGCTGATTGGCATGTCACCATATTCTAATTTGTTGAGATAGTGAATTGGTGGGTTTTTGTTAAATGTGAGCCAAAATCATCACAATTAAAAGAACCAAAGACTTAAACTACTTCAGTCTGTGTGCATTGAATTTATTTAATACACGAGTTTCACAATTCGAGTTGAATTACTGAAATAAATGAACTTTTCCACGACATTCTAATTTATTGAGATGCACCTGTATATCCGAGTTGAACAGCAACAAGATTTATCTACAAAAAAAATTTGACAAGTGA